ATGCTGAACACTTTTATTGGGAAGAAGCCATTGAAATGAGGCAAGGGGTCAGATTTCAGGGATTGAGTCTACCTACATGATGTCTGGTGTCAGCAGGTTGATTGACATCTGGGCAGGTCATGCCCATCTCATGAGCTGTATAGGGGTCATGGCAGAGCAAGCAAAAAGACCAGAGCGAGGCCAGCCCAAACAGCTGGGCTATGTTGGTTCAGTCCACTTTGTGTGCTCAATGCTCATAGTTAACACACACACATCCCATGGCTGGCTTGCCACATCTCCACATTCTCATCATTCAAGGTCAAGGGGCACTCAATTCCTAAATGGTAGCTCTCAACAGAAAGCCAAGCTTGATCAAGGCTTCTTTCATGAGCAACATCAGTTGCCCTCAATTTTGTATTTCTGTTGAATCAAACACCCCCATATTGCCATTTGGCACCATAATGAACCAATCTGTATTCCAAGTAGTAACAGATTAGTTGAAAAGGAAGATGAAGCAGTTAAATGAAATAAGAAAAATACAGTGACAATTGTGTGGCCAAGCAATTCTGAGCAACATGATCTAACATTAATGTTATCACATTCTAAGTCAGACAATATAATTCTGAAGCAAACTGACAAGTAATATATTTACATGTAGAAAATACTTAAAAAACCACCAAAAAATCAACATATTTATATAAAATTATTGTTAGAGTTAAGCATTTACTAAGTTGATTAATTTCTCAATTACTCTTTCTGACATGCTGTGAGCAATTCAGCACACTCCTTTAACAAGTACTAATTTATTGTAGTTTAGATGCTTCTCTCAAAGTCTAGAAACCACATAAATCATTTGAACAAGGAAAACTTAACATAGACTTATTCATGTCTGAGGCCCTGAATTTAATCCCCAGCACAGAGAAAAAAAGAAAAAGAATCGAATAAAAAAGGAGTTAACTACTAAAAGAAGTAAAAGAAGCCTCAAAAGAATGCAGAAATGGCATATATAGGGAAAAGATAGTAGTACCTCTAAATTGAGGCAGAATAGCCACAGAAGGAAAAAAAATGTATGACAGGGACCCCAATGAGACTGAGGTGCAGAATTCATTGAGGAAGATGGAACCATGGCCCACTGGAAGGTTGAAATGGATATGTAATGCTCCAACTCACCAGGTGTCCTCTTTCATAATACCCCTGCTCCAACATTTGTGACACCAAATGTTTGGAGGTTTCCACACCAATTCTCTGCATATATCAGCGTGTCCTATAATTCAATTAAGGAATTACCAGAGAGTCCTACAGGTTAAGTGGACCCCACAGTCTTAAAAGTATGTCCCCATGACTTCAGATGACAATCACAAGATGGCTACTCATGTTACCCATCTGTTTCTGAAGTTCCTCTCACTGTAAGGAGGTCCAATGTAGTCTCTCCAGTGGCAAAGAAAACCTCTACTCAGGACTTTCAGACCCATGCCCATACCATAGAAAAGAATGTAAGGATGTGTTAGGCTTTAGTAAAGAGAGGAAGAGCATCATTAGAAAGTGAAGAGTGAATATAGAAACCCTCAGAGAATAATGTGGGCAATCTCAAGAGCAAGAAGAACCACAACACCAGGGATTAAGGTCAGGTTATTTTATAGGGTACAAAGGTAGAATATAGGATCCAAAGGGACAGGACTTCCCTGGAGACTGGGAAATATTGAGTAACATGGTTTCCCATTAGGAAATCTAGTCTGCTGTGTTATTTTCATCAGATATTTGATCAGGTATTTGATCCAATCAAATGTTAGCCCCTAGCTTTATGAGGTTAGTAGTGTCTTTCTTTTGAAATCTTCTTCCTGCTTTGCTGCATCCAGAAAATTTATACAGAACTGAAAACTTACAAAGTAATTTTTGAGATTGTTTGGTACATTTTTACCTTTGGTCTCTTTCTGTCGCTTAATATTCTTTGTCCAGGTCAAGAGCAGTTCACAAGTTATTGTTCCACATCCCAACAGGCACATTTATTCTTTAGAGCTTTTTTGTAGTATCCTATATTTCTATCTCATTCCAAATAACCATCTTCCATTCCCAAGATCCATTCTTAGATTGGGTGATTTTCTATATCCATTTTCTAGACGGGCTCAGAAAATCAACAGAAACAACTTTGTTTACTAACCAATTTATTATAAAACATCTTGTAAAGGATACAGTGAATAGCCAGATGAAATGCACATAGGGTGAGGCCCAGAAAAGCCTCAAGCACAGGAATACCTGCCTGTGGTGGAGTTTGAGAGGCAGCACCCCCAGAAACATGAATACATTGTTGTTCATCAACTCAGAAGCTCCCTCAATATTTTATGGATATTTCACTGTGTCATTATGATTGATCAAATCATTGACTGCTTGTAATTAATTAATTCGACCTTCAGCTCTATTTTGTCCCCTCTTTCATTTTTTATTCATAAAATTTGTTCCTTTGGCAACCTGCTCCCATCCGAGGTAACCCAGGGGCTTTCTAAAAATTGTCTTATTAACATAAACTCAGATGGCTGAAAGGGGGTTGTTATTAAAAACAATAGACTCTCCCTTCATCTAAAGAGAAAATTCCAAGGTTTTTAAGAGATGTTTTCAGGAATCAGGGAGAGAAATCACTTTTTATGAACTTAGGGAAGAGACTAAAAATACAGATAAATACATCAATATAGACATTTCTTACTATGTCACCAAAAGGTGGGCCTTCTGTACACCACCAGAAGTTACAACCAAAAAGGAAAACAGCCCAGTATGGTGGCCATGCCTGTAATCCCAGCATTTTCAAGACTGAGGCAGGAGTATTACAATTTCAAAGCCAGCCTCAGCAACTTATCCATGCCCTAAGCAACATAGGAAATGTAGGATAAGTTTGTCTCAAATTTTTAAAGGCGGGGGTTGGGTGCTGGGATTGCAGCTCACTGTTGATGTAAGTGTGCAGAACGGGCTTTAATCCTCAGCACCACATTAAGAAATAAACTAAATAAAGGTATTGTGTTTATCCACTACTAAAGAAAACTATTTTTAAACAATATAGTATGGGATTGTTGCTAAGTGATTAAGTATCCCTGGATTCAATCCCTGGTAACAAAAAAGAAAAAAAAAGGAAAGGAAAGGAAAGAGAAGGGAAGGAAAGGGAAGGGAAGGAAAGGGAAGGGAAGGAAAGGAAAGAAAAGAAAAAAGAAAGAAAGAAAGAAAGAGAACTAACTTGCCTTGCAGTGGCCCTTCCAGTGCATTGTACCAACAATCTCACATTGTGTCAGATGGCAAAAAGTGTTTACAAGGTCCAGTTCCAATAACACAAAGAAAAACCACCATGGAGTGGATTTGGAACAGAAATGCAATGAAATGATACTGGACTCTGTCCACATCTTTGGCTTTATACTTTACGTGTGTATACATGTTTCAACCAATTTGCAACCATTTGAACTTCAATAAGACAACAAATATACATGAAAAAGCCACCTGACAAATGAAGAGCAGATAACATAAAATGTTGGACTCTTCTCTTAAAACTCCATCATTCATTGAAGTTTGGAACTGAAATATCCCCCAAAGGCTCATGTGTTAAAAGTTTGGTCCCCAGTAGGTGGCCCTTTGGGGGGTGGTAGAAAGTTCAATGGGTTTGGCCTAGGAAAGAGGAAGGAAGTAGGTAACTGTGACTGTGTCCTTGAAGACTATGTCTTGGCCCCTTATCTATATATTACTCTCTCTCTCTCCTCTCTCTCTCTTTCTCTCTCTCTCTCTCTC